AAGGGAAGGGAAGGGAAGGGAAGGGAAGGGAAGGGAAGGGAAGGGAACCACAAACAAACAAACAAAAATTTGATCATCCCAATGGAAGAAGTAGCTCTCCTTAAGGGAAAGTGTCCCAGCAGATTCTGAGCCCCGCCCTCACTCAGCTGGAGTAGACTGCTGAACCTGTGTAACTTCACTAGATTCTCACTGAAAAACGCTCTAAAACAGCTTCATGTTTCCACATCAAATCTGATTTGAACATATGTTCACAGCGAGTCATTCAATTTGTTCTTTTGGTGCCTTGTTCATGTTCATCTCTGCTAATGGTGATCATTCAGCAAAGGGTCCACAAATCAAACTGCTATGCCTTGCAAGGATTCACTGCCCAGGGTTTGCAGTGGGTTTTATAATCTAAGTTAACTGGAATGTTAGCTGTTTCTGAGTGAGTGGCTGCATAGTCTTTAATGAGTGAATGAATAATAAATACAAATATAAAGTTATGAAAACACATCAGGTATTCTTATTTCCTTGCACTCATCCTCTCTCATCTGCCAGCTTGGTCTGCATAGAAGGAAGCTTATCATAAAATACACCTGTAAACAGTCCTGTGCTGATGCATAATATATGAAGATTTCAGTCTCTGAGAACATTTCATTAAAATATTTGTATGACTGCAGTATGTTAAACTCTCAGCTACTTTACTACTCAAGTAGTTTGATTTGGGAGGAGATCATAGGAATGATGGCTGGATAGAACTTTTGGAGCGTCTGGATAGCTGATGTTAGGAAGCAAGCTCACAGTTTTGTTCAATTTTTATCCTTTGTTTGAGTTAACTCTTGAGATGTGTGTCACAGGTGCAGGGAGCTTTCAGGCAAAGCCTCCTATCCATGCTGTGTGCCTCCCCCTGATCATTGGGAGTTTACTGAGGAAACAGGAAAAACTGTAAGATTAGCCACAGTACCACTGCTTTCATGTGCTCCATCTGAGGTAATTGTGATTATTCATGAGAAAGAAAGGATTATTCAAAGTTATTGCACAAGCCTGCATCTTCAAGTATCTGCATTTTCACTGTGACTACCTGCAGTTCACAGAGCTTCCTGATGGATAAAGCTTCTATTTTCAGTAGCATTGGGTGAATAAATATATTTTAACTGTTGTGTACTTAGATAGAGTAGCAGCAAGACTACTTAAATACCTACTGCAAAGAGAGGCAAAGCCTTCTCCATTTTGCCTCACCACATTAATTTCTTCCATGTTACTGCAAAGACTACTGTGATGATTTAGGTTGCATTGCCTATAAGAGATAATGTTTGGGGGGCTCTTCTTTATTTACAGCCATGATTTTTATAACTTTTTCCTTTTAAATATTTTCAGATTTATTTCAGGTTTTGGAGAGATTGACTTACAGCTACAGACAAACGACATCAGATTAATTTCTCCCAGCAATGTCTGTAGACATCCCAAAACCGCAAAGCACTCTGTAAGGACTTCAGGTGTTGCTTTTGTTCCATTCAAAGACAAGCAACTGAATCAAATTAAAAAACAAAACAAAATCCAGTATTCCCCACCAAAACCCAGAAATATACATGATACACTATGAAGTCTAAGTTTGAAAGTCCCATGATTAATAGAAGTGGAAATTGCTCAACACTTTGGTCTCAATCTCCTTGTGAGTAAACAGCAATAAAATTATCCTGTCTTTATGATGCACCGAAGGATACAACAGGTCTAGTACAAAAGGCTTTGAATTTTTTCTTTTTTTTTTCTATTGGATATGAAATTGCTGCTTAGACTGATTTAGCCACCTGGAAATGTTTTATGTCTTTCAGCACTTATTTTCTGTTATGTTTTTCTTATCCCTCATATTCCCATAAAACTGTTTAGTGCAGGGAGCTGCTAAAACTGAGCTGAGCAAAAGGTACTGAATGTCTTACCTTTGGATAGCTGGTTTTGCTTTGAGACTGATCACCAAAATTAAGAGTTAGGTGACATCTACATTATTGATTCACGCTGAGAATTAGTTGCACAATCCTAATATCATCTTTAGATCCCTCAGACTCCTGAGAAGATGAGAAACTGAGGATTTTTAGGTAAGGAAGGTCAGCAACACTTCGGAAGGTCTAGGCATGTGGGGAGTATATGGCTGGCAGTGGAAGTAACAGGACTGGGGTGAGGTGTATTGTCAAAGTGAATACAACAGCAGCATCTGTGACTCCTGAGAGTGAGAACAGCAGTGAGCTGGGACACAGCTAATTCCACAACACATAATAAGTAATGGTTACAGATCAGAACTTAATTTCAGAAAACTGCAAATAATTCTTCACACTACAGCTATTGCAGTCCTTTTTAAAGACTTGCCAGGAGCTCAGGAAATGTGTTATCAAATCCCACTTACATTTGGGCAAGCCACTTATAGTCTGGTATTCAAGATCTGAGGTTTAATGCCTGCAGATGCAAATAGATCTCCCATTGTGCATCCTGTCTATTTAAATTGTAAACTTCTCACAGCTGGAATTATGTCTTGTCATATGTTTTTATATTACCTGGCAAAAGTTTTCTAATTTTCTAATTTTGATTGAAATCTCCAGGCATTATTGTAATGAAAATGACTATAATTATCTCCAATGGGACAAAATCTGAGTGTCAAATTGAAATTGAAATACTGGAATGGACATAACAGACAACAGGTGCCTACCATGCAGTAGAAGCCCTTTGTATCACAGACACTTTAATACCATTAAATTCTCCATCATCACTTTCCTGAGTTACCTAAAGAAATAATTCTACAGCTGACAGTCAGTACATCTTTGTATCAAGTTTTATGTAGTTGCTAAACTGAACTAAGCAAAATCCACGTAAATGCAGAAGAACATTCTTGGAGTAAGTTTCTACACCCCTAATTAATAAACCTCCATCTCCTAAAAGAAGCTGATTCTCCAGAGGTAGGAAGAAAATTTCAGTGAAAAACAGGGAACTATGATGTGGAATCCAACCAAGGAAATGAATCTTGGAACCAAAAACCTTCCCATCCATTTATGGTCTTTTCACCAGCCAGGCCTCAAAGTTATTAGCAATACTTTTATTTATTGATAAAATGCTACTGAAAATGTTAAAGAGTTTAATTTTCCATAGCTAGTCAAAGTTGTGCTGGAAGCTAACACACGGCAATGCAGCTATATGTTGATTCCACAACAGTGACATCCTCAGTGCCTTCTGGAGGTAAAAGAATAATAGGAAAAAAGTAGAGAGAGGGGAAGGGGAAGAGGAGTTCTCTTCTTGTGTCGTTGGGTGAACATATGAGATCAAATTCATGTTTACGAACACAAAGAACAAAAAAAATTTAGATGATCAATCAAAGTAAAAGAACAGTTTTAGCAGATCTGCTCTTTCCGGGGTTAATTCTGCTTCTAGAAGAAATTAGGCGAAGCAGGTCATCAGGATTGATCTGATGCTCACAGAACATTTCTGAGCCATATCAACAAATTTTCCAAGAATTTTCCCCACCTTTATTTCCATTTACTTGTTTGTATTACATCTCTTTACTGTGTTTCGACTGTCTTTGATGACTTTTGTAAATTCCTGTCCTCATCTTCCCATTCTTCCTCTCATGGCCTTTTGAAGAGAAATAAAGCTTATTAAAGATTTTCTTTCAAAAAAGAATAATGAATATTTGCTCAGTTATACACAACCCCCTACCAAAATCACATTTGTTTCTTTCCACAAATTTTTGTTTCCATTCCTATTCTTCAATGTTCTGTTTATGTTTTATAAAAATCATTCACTCTACCACAGTTTTTAGCATTCACTGCTTTCTCAAGAAGCATAAGTTACTTTATTAATCCATATAACACACAGGTTCTGTTATGATGCTTTAGAAATTACTTAAATTGTTACAATTCTAAAATAGAAATACCTTTTTAACCAGAGTATATAGCAGTTTTCACTTTGGGATCTTTGGAGGTTTTCAGGATTGTTGGAGCACTTTACAAGATACTAAGACCCCTAGCTAAAAGGCATGAGAGATGGCAAAAACTGAGGAGAAATGCTTTGGGATGGGAGATTTGAAAAACTTGCTGGTTTGAGTACACTAACAACTGGGATAAAACCACTAAATTTGCTTTGTGCATATCTGTTCCCAGCTGGTAACAACAGATGTCCACTAGAATGAGGAAAAGCATTTTTTACTAGCATGGAGAGCTGTGGGGATGCAATGTTCAAAATGAGCATGTAATAATGCACATACATTTTCTGAGTGACTTCAATACAAGACATTAATTGTATTGTAGTTCTGCCTGAGTAATGTAGACAATAGTCTGCATTATTAATTTTAAGAAAAACTGTGTTTAATTGTATTAAACACAATTATAGTTCTGCCTTAGCAGTGCAGACAATGGAATTCATTATTACATTTAAGCGAAAATGTATTTAATTTTCTGGCAAGCAATCTCATTGAAATTGAAATAGTCTACTAAAATATTTTCAAAAACCAAATTATCTTTGGTTGTAATATTTTTGCAAAATACAGCTGTCCATATTCAATTAAGTTAATTTCCTTTTAGACCAAACTGCAGGAAGAAGTGACTTTCTTCTAATTTTATGTGGAGCTGTTTCACATTCAATCTAAACATTACATGTGTTTTATGCTCTAGTTAGGAGCTTTCTTATAATAAGAAAAAGCAGGAGCATCCATGTACATATGGAGATATATTTACAAAATTGCTCAATCAACCAGCTCAGTGAGGAAATAAAAAAGTTCTACTCTGGGCTCCTTTCCAGGATAAGAAGGCAACAGAAAAGAATAAAAGTGCATCCCAGGTGTCCTATGTGTCATATGAGTCTGAATGTGGCCAAAATAAATGCCTAGATCCAATAATCTGGTGAGTCCAGGAATCTGAAGGTCTCCCAAATCCTGTAGATTAGACAGTAGCTGCTAAGAGTGGGAGATATATTTAAATACATCATGGGGGGAAAGGCTGATTTAAAGACAGGTTATTTGCAGGCAATAACTGTCCATGTGCACAGAGACAAATGTTCTTGCTGTGGCCTGGGTCTGGTCACAATATCCACGTGAATTAAGATGTTTATTTGTGACTAGAACTGAGCACATTGTAACCCATGTTCTTGCAGCAGTTGCTCCTGGGTTGCATAGACACCCTCTCTGTTCTAGGTGGACAGCCCAGTATTGAAATCAAGCAAAGAATAGCTTGAAGGCAACATGACCGTAGCTGGTATTCCACTTTTGATCTCAGCAGAAGCTCTGCTGAATGCCTTTTTTTCCACTCTCTTTCTACCCATTCCACTACTTCTTCCACTGTTTCAGATGCTTCTTAGAAAGAGGAAGGAAAGTTAGAGTGAATGGATTTTCAGTTAAAAGTAACAAAAAAGATTAAATCCAAAAATATAAATTCCAATAAAAAGTTCTGTAAAAAACAATGCATTTTCTTTCAGTAGTTCTCACACCGGTACTTTGCGAACCAATTCAGAAAATCATGTTCATTATGCTTGGATAAAAAACTGGAGAAGGAACAATTTATAACAAAGATTTATAATTATTTTATTTATATTTTGGTGGAATCAAGGATTTTCAGATGTAGATCAGGACAGGAAAAAACCTGAGGTTTTTTGGTAAGCACAGAAAAAACCTGATCTGCACCTCATGGAATTTATTATCACTGTCAAATTTTGGCAATAGCAAAATGAACCTAGCTTGGATAAGCAGCTTCTGCTAACTCATGTGCTACATCTTTATTTTCTTGGGACCTAATGATAACTATCCCTTGAGAATCATTACGGCTATTTTTCTTTTTTCCCATTGTCAAAGTAAACCTACTGGGTTGGCACGCTTTTTATGGGCAGCAAAGGTTAGCAGTGAGATTTGTTGGGGGCCAGAAAAGTGGGACATTTCTACTTAAAATTCACATCTTGCTTCCGCTTGCATTGCAGTTCTCAGGACTTCATGTGCCATCAGATTTATTGTTGGGAATCTGACTCAAAATTGATCCTAATAAAATCTATTCTAATTACATATTAAAAAATTCTAAACATCTCAGCTTGCTTCTTCCTGCCAGGCAACCCATGAAGCAGCAAATTACTTTGGATGGTGCTGCAGGTTCATAACCTAGCATTTATATTTGTCTTAAACTTAAAAAACATGGTCCTATGTAGCCATCCTTGACTTCAGGATCTAAGGAAATTTCATTTTGTCATGAGAGAAAGTCAGGCTGAGATTTTTTGTTTCTCTGAAATCAGATGAAACTTTGCAAGTGATTCCAGAAGGAGTGGAGGAAGAGAGCAGGGTCAGAAGCAGTCCTCCTCCACAAGTCAGCTGTATAAATGCAGTGTTTAAGGGAGAGAAAGAATTTTACTTGTAGGTATGAAATGACATAAAGGAAAATTAAATGTGAAATTTAGGTAGCCACTGAAGTTTTAGTAATGGGACCATTAAAGAACACACTACATTTAGTAACACTGCTGCACTGAGAAAGTCTTGGAATGCCAGATGACATTTGTGTCATTTTATGGTAAATGAGGGCCATCTACTTAGCAGCAGGAAAGCAAAGTTTGAGATAAGAAAAATTCTGTAACAGCCTTCAGCCCTACTCTTCTTACATACCCCCACCACCATGGTGGCACTTCACAATGGAGATCCATGGATGTACAATTCAGGAATTACCTTCAATGACTGATGGGCTCTTTTGCCTCTCTTCTCTTTGTAGCTCTGGAGCCTGGGCTGTGACAATGAAGAGTCCATTAGTGTGACCCTGAGGACTTGTATCTTCTCCACTTGCCCCAGAGGGTTTGAAATGGTGAATTTCACTCTGTTTCTGATCCCTCATCTCAGCAGAGATGAGACTCCATGCAGAGACAAAATACATGTCCAGTCTATCTTTCCACAGCCCTCACTTCACACTGTGCGCTGGTCTATATCTCCAGCTCCTTCATTCCTCCCATTTTCCTGGCTGTGAATGTCTCAAAAAGGAGATAAAAGCTGGAGTTCAGTCCAAGAGCCTTTGAGGGAAAGAGGCAGAGCAGAATACAGTTGCCAGCACTTCCAAGTAAAGGGAATTTGAAAAACAAATATCAGAAACTTGCCTATAATACCTGAATGGATTACAGCAGTATGGAAATATTCCTGAAATCAGTGTCAGGTAGGAGAAATCCCAGATCCCACTCCCACACACTTGCAGTTATGGTGAGGCACTGAAACTGATGACAGGCACAGCTCTGCTTCCAGCATCACATCCTCCTACGCAGCAGGAGAACTAGCCCTTTTTTGAATGAAAGTTAAACCAGTTCCCAAAGTTTTGCAGCAAGGCAGAGATTCTGAAGCAAATCTAAACTCCACAAAACTGAGAAACACATTTCTCATCATGCCTGGGATGATGTGTCTCCAGGGTCATTTCAGAACGGCATAGCCCTCATCACGTCCAGGGGTACAGAAGGAGAGCAGAAGGTATGATAGACAGCATGGGAGCAGGAAGGATTCCAAGCAAGGCACAGGATTCCTGAGCACCCCGTGATATTTCAGTTTCTGTCTTGCTTTGGCAGCACTGTTATCAATGACAGACCATTCTAGAACTTCTCTGTGCAAACTTCAGACGTTGTGCAGTAAAGGCTTTGAAACAATTTCTTACAACAGAAACAGTCTGTCCTGTTGTCCTTGGCTGCAATTTTCTTTCTCGACACTTTCTGCTAGTGCAGCATTTTAGTGCTGCAGTTGTATTAGCATAGTCTGCAAAGCATTTCAGGACCATTCAGGTTGAGAAGAGCTATATTAATGTAAAATATTCTTCCAAGAGTAAGTTAAACAGAAAACACTATATTGATTCAATGCCTCACAAGGTCTTACAAGAATTAATTCAGGTAGGCTTGGATGTAAGCCTTTTTTGCATGGACTGAAAAGTGGCTGAAGGCTGGTAAACAAATTGCAAAGATTAATGACACTGCAACTTGCTAGGAGCCTTTTCAAACAAATTTTCTGGGTACCTTGAAACACTAAGTATACTAAAGCTAACAACACTCTTGAAGCTGGGACTTACTGTGGGAGGTCACCCAGTTTTGCAGAAACAGAGAAACAGAGGAACCTGGAGAGTCCTTGCAATGCATCGGCCAGGATTTTGGAATCAAGTTCAAATCCAGTCTAATGCTCTAGTTGCAGGACCACCCTTTCTGATAAATTTCTCCCATATATCTTTAAAGATACAGATACTAAATTTGTTTAACATATTTCTTAAGCTTTCATATCAGTTAAACCAAAAATTAGTCGTAGTCCCTCTCCATAATATTTCCATTACTTTCTCTGCTCTTTTGAGTCATACAATATTTAATATTATTATATTAGGTGAATTTTATAAATTCTGTTTTCCTAATATTTAGAGAAACAGTGAAAAGGATAGCAGCAGTGGACAGTATCATCTCTCTAACACTGATCAGAAAATGATGCCTATGGAAAGAGCATGCAAGGATGCCTATACCAGCCCATTGTATATAGACCAAAGATTAACTCAGTGTTTAAATATACTTTTTATGTTAATAGTTAATGGTGTGCCTACACTTTATCTCTTTTTACAGTCACTTTTTAAACCTTGTAATGATTTGAGTTTCTTTATTTCATGACTGCAAGTTCAACATTTTAATTACCCATTGAGTAAAAAGCTGGGGTTTTTTATTCCAGGTTTGTTAAGCTATTTCAGTTAATAATCCCGGTTCCTTGTGAAATAAGTGCATAATCATTCCTATTTACCTTCTTCAAATTATTTGTGATCTTATATGTTTGACATACTCTCTCAGTCTCTCTTTTTTATGAGATTATGCTCTTTTAAGATCAACAGACTTTTGGACAAGAGCGTGATCAAAAGTATTTTGGAAATCAAAACGCATTATGTCAAAAGGATGAGACAATGCCCAAAGATATCAAGAACAGATTACTGTTGCTTTACTGACTCTGCCTGAGAATGTCACATTTATCCACATCTGTTATTTTTATTTTTTATCACAGCTTCTGTCCATTTGTTTGATAAGAAAGTCATACTTTTTTTGTTTGTAGATTTTACAGTGTGCTTATTCCCCACCCACACAGATGCCAGGGGTCCTTTAAAAATGGTTGTTCTGCTTGCCACCTGCTCTTTCTCTGGAATAAACACTAATTTTATTCAAGAGTTCACTCAGAGCAGTTAGTAGTTCAGCAGCAACTTCAAGAACTCTTGGGTTAATACCATCTGTTTCTTATGGTGTTTGTTATTATACATTTTATTGATCTGCTCTAAAACCCCTTCTGCTGACGCTTCACTTTGAGGCAGATTTTCGTACTCGTTTCCTGTAAGTAAAGGCAGAAAAGTCTCTAAGTTCCATGTGGATAATACTAATGTAAGCAGCTCTCTCAGCCTTTCTGCTATGGCCACAGCATCCTCCAGTGCTTTTTCCATGGCTCAGCCATCTGTCAGCCTTACAGACATGGGAAGGATGTATGGTTTTCATGTGTTTTAGAGAGACTGTATTACCAATTTCCATGTCTTTAGCAGATTGAGTCTCAGAATCAGTGTTGATACAGGTTATTGTATTTTTACATTTTGCATATCAGAATTTTTACACACTTTCTAGTTTTGCACCTTTGGATACAAATTCTGCTTTTTGAAGTATATCCTTTTACTTATAATTGCCTCTTTTCCTCTTTCCTTAACCACATTATCTTTTTTTTGTAATTTACAATATTTTTATGCGAATAAAAATTTAGGCTGAGGATGCAATATGGTGCCTTTAAAAGTTCTTGAAAATATTTTACCCTTTTTATTACTCCCCTTCACCGTTTAAAAAATTTTCCTGGTTACCACAGTTTCCATTTGTGGGAGGATGGATTGTAGGATAGTAGAGATAGTGCTGAAGGCAATCTCACCCCTGACAAGTTGCAGCTGTACTAACTATTAAAGAGTAAGAACGGCCCTGCCCTTAATAGGGCACAGCTATATCTAATAAGGCCTGCCCTTAATAGGCCACAGCTTGTCCAGTAAGGGTGGGTTTTATAATAGAACGTGTTAGCTGTTTAAGAGGAGAGTTGGTGTTTGTTGGCTGCGTTGTGAGGAGCAGTAAGGGTAAGGTGGTCGTACAAGGGACAGTGAGGGTTAGTATGTTCTGTGAGGGACAGGAAGGACTCAGCCAGCCATGCGGAAGAGAAAAGGAGTTAGTGTTGTGAGAAGCTGCCTGTGGGAACTTACAGAGAGAGGGTATGAAAGTTTTATAGTGAGATGATAAACTGATGGTGACAGTCAGATTGGCGCCAAGTACTGATGCCAACAATTGGTGGCCTGTAGAGGGATGAGTCTTGACATCCATTATGAAGTTAAATTTTGCTGTTGAAGTCTGAATCTGTAGTAACTCTTCTTCCTTTTGAAGAGAGTTGCTTCAAGGGACGCTCACCAGTGATTTCTTAGACTGTAACTTCTGTATAGTGTTTTACCTTGACACTTAGCTAACATTAATGGGAAAGGAGAGGTCTCATTGCAGATGTGTTTTCAGCCCTTGCAGGTTCTCTTTTCACTGACAGCATTGCATAACCAGCATTCCCCTCCTCATTATGAAGTCAAGACAATGCATTATATTCTCTCCATTTAAGCATGAAATTTTAATCCGAAGAATTTCTATGGAGAAAATTTAGACATTTTATTTTTTGATGCTAATTTATATTAACCATGTACACCAATAATGCAGATGTTCTGTCCCTGTGTTTTCCTCAGCATAAAGCTTTGGTCTCTGATTCGCTCTTTGATTTCTAGAGTTCCACTGTTTATTGCCCTTCCATGAAGTGGCTAAGGTTTATGTTACACCAACTGTCTCACTCATAGCTGTAGGTTTTCCCCATATCTCCACTTTTACTTCTCCCATTGCTGCTGTTATCCACACGAACATTCACCAACAGCTCCAGAAAAACATTCTCTAGGTAATTGTCCAGATGGCTCATGAAATTTGCCACTTCCACACCTGGCAGAAAAGTTATCATGCATAATGAACTTATGTGGAGGGTTTTATATAAAACATATTATTTTTAAAATAAATAAACTAGGAACTATAACTGGGTTTTTTGCCAGATCCTGTTGTTACAGAGAGCATTTTTTAGTTGTTTCCTAAGAAGCATGAAACAAAGAGTATCGACTCAAGAGCCCTAGGTTGAACATTTACAAAGCTGCTTAATTGTCTTCATAAAAGTGCTCCTTCAAAGCTACCATTTGCCATATGTTTATAATAGTTAAAAATTGGTAAGTTGTGAATATGTGATCACTTTATACCAACCTAGTGTGCCAGTGGTTTCTTGCTTCAGGCTAGAGTTCTGTGTGTCCAGTCTCCTGCCTTTGACCTGATAGCCACATTTTGGGTCATTTTGGGACAGAGTTGGAAGTCTTCTGTTTTATTCAGTATTTCCTGAGTTACTGTTGAAGTCCAGTCATAGTCCACAATTACCAATTTCACATAGGATGCACCTTCATCCTGCCTGCCTGTGCTGGGTGGATGGCCCCTCTTTACAACACAATCAGCATATTCCTGGTCAGAGAGCTGAATCTTCAGGGAGTTCCTGCAGTAGGCAGGGAGTGTTACAATTTTACAGACATACACACAGATGCACATGCCCCTTGCAAGAGTGAACTTACTGTGTGACAAATGCACAGATCATTCATACATGGATGTCCTGAAGTTCCATGATGAAATGCCAATCCTCCAGTAGGGAGTGCTGTCTGTAAAAGATAGTGCAATGCAGTCAGAGACACCGTAGTCAATAAAAAACATTATTACGTTATTATCTGGTATGCAGCCTTAGAATAACAAATTCAAACATCTTCCAAATCCAAGATACAACATTTTGATAGAACTTTATATTCATTCAAAGTTCTGATTATTATTATAAATATTGTTATGGAGTCTAGTGGTTTTATGTACAGTGTCTAGAGGTTTTTTAAGGTAGTTGAGTGTGTAATTTAACTTACCCAAGAAAGAATCTCAGTTGTTGCATTGGCATTGACAGATCTCCTGAGTGGGATGATAACAACCAGAGGCAAATGCTGTCGTAAACAGTGATTTTACAGGGCTTATAGAAACTCACAAACAATTCCATCAGTCTTGTAGCATTAGTAAAACCACATTCACCAGTAGGAAAAAATGCACCTTCTCACATGCATTTGGAGACACTAATACAGAGTTCCAGTCTAATATCCTTTAAACTTTCATTCCTCTGATTTCTTGCTTCTAACTCTAGGCAGCCTTGGCCTGTGTATTCTTTACTCCATCATTCTGTGTTCCAGCAGTCCTTGTATGTATAAAGTATCTAAGCAGCCCCCTTACTTCCTTCATGCTACTTTTTTCTATCACAGAAAATAGAAATTCCCGTTTGCTTTGAGTCACTTGCTGTGAGAAAAAGAGATTTTCAGACTTGATTGCAGCCTTGCTCCATTCTACGGCATACACCCACATAAAAGATTAAGGAGGATGACTCATGTCTGGGTAATTTTATTGCTTTACAGAATCCTAATAATTCTCTTAGAAAAGGTATTGGAAAGCTGGTTGGAAACTCAGTTTTAGAGAAAGATGGTTCATACCATGTCAGAAAGAAAAAGACTCCATGGTGACCCAGCATGTTCCAGAAATCATTTCCTGTAAGATATCAGAAAAGCTGCACTTTCAGACTATGCTAAAGTCCCTCTTTCATTTTCTTCTGGTGTATCTTTTGGAGTACATACAGTAAGTGCATGCAGATGAAGGTATTAGAGATGCTTCTGGGTCTTTGTTGTACACTTCAAAGGTACAACTGTAGAATTTACAGACAAAATAGGCCAGGGTACAGTAATGGAGAGGATAATATTGCAAACATATAGGGCCTCAGTCATCCCTGCATTTGTCTTCAGCTTGATGGAAGAAGGTCTACAATAAGTGAAGGATGGTCCTGCTGTAATGAAGCTGTCAGCAGTAACGAAAGTCGTTTGTGCATGGCCTACCACACTAAATTACTACTGACTGCCCTCAGCACAGCTCTCATCAATCCAAGCACACCTGCTGTGTAGGGCGACGTGGACCATGGGGAAAGATATCATTATTCTCTTCAGGATGCCTCTGCTGGTTCTTCATCATCTCCCATCCTTCCTCTCCATAAGTTATCATTGATCAAGTCCTGTTATTTCTTCAGGTATAGAGCCATGGTACATACAGTAACACCATTACTCTTCCCTGCAATTCACAGACACCTCTAAATTATTTCTTGCCCTTCCAAATGAGTTATTGTCCGGCATCTAAGCTCTTCTTTTTTTCCACTTATGCCCTGAATATCAATGTTGAAAATAAAAATACTCCACTTAAATCCATACTTCCTAGAATTAAGTCAATCACTGTATCTTCTATAAAACAGATTGTTGGACTGGTTCTAATTAGCTTTCATTAGTGGTTATTCATGTACAAATTTCCTGCAGAGTGGGCCCTGAACAAAAAATGCATCCAAGTCTTTCCAACCTGAATGCATGGGCAACTTTCCATGTCAAAAAATTAAGGTGGTCATGTGGGTATCAGAAAAATAAATTTAATCAACTTATCCCTTGGCTATGAATGGCAGGAAAAATCACTGACAGAGAGGAGCATTTGTTCAAAATTAATTCTGTGGAATTAATTTTTCTGTACACGAGAGAAGGATGGTATTTTGTTTGCATAATCAGCACTCTCTAATTATATTCTTTCAGATGAACTCATCATACCTTGACATTTATTTTATATCACTTGTACTGTATCAATCTCAAAATTAAATCAACACTGAAATGTTTGTTCCTGAATCTGTCTCTCATGGATTTGCCTTATCCCAGGATTGTTTCTTCTGGAAAGCTATAAGTGGTATAAATTCTGTTGCACAGCATAGTGAGAGGATTCACATTTCTAGTGTTTGCTAAGTAAACTGATGTTCAGTCCTGTTGGAATATTAGCTATAATTTTCACTCTGTGTATAAAGACTGGGCTCTCTCTATCATCTTCAAACTATCCATCCCTCAACCTGTGCTCCTATCCTAGTGCAGACACTACATCCTACCTGTGAGCCATACAAGGTTCTGGATTACAATAATAGCAAAAGGATGCTATGCCTGTGAAGTCCCTGTTTCTTACTTATATATTTTCCACACCTTTCTATGCATTTGTTAAGAGCTGCATTCAATGGATAAATCCCCATTTGTCAAAAGTTAGGCACATCGGTGTAAGTTGCACAGCCGAGTCAAACTTTCTGGTTCTGGTGAAAACCTGAACTGGACATTCCATTAGACATCCTGAAAAGCTGCCATTTAACAGGACTCAGAACAGATCAAAACAACAGTAAGGTAATTTTTGTCGCTGATCTTAAAACCAGACATAAGTCAATTAATTTCTTAAGATATTGGCAGAGCATGGAGTACCCAGATCTATTTTAAATAAAAACCACATCTTATATCTGTATCTCAAATGTATACGCAAAATAAGCACTGTCTTCTATATAAAAGTGATTCACCCTCAATATTTTTTGTGAAGCAACTCGGTTTTACAATATCCATCACTTCTAACCTGCTGCATTGTTAGCTCTGTATCTTTAAAATGCCTCTGTTAGCTATATTAAATGTGCTTTTAGAGTCCAGCATTAAAAGTTATTATCATTCCAAAAAACTAACACTTTTCATTTGCAAATGTAAACCTGGCTCTATCATAAAAAGCAATGAAAGGAATATATCAAGGAGAAATATGGGAAACTGCCAGGTTAATAATTTGGAATATTGGGATGAAAATTTGTCTGGAAAAATGTATTTGATTACTTACAAGAAGTCATTAATTTATCTATTAATATTTTTAACTATTTAGCCTTCAGATTTATACTCAGGTATAAGTCACTAGACACAGTGTCTACACTTACAATTATGAATCAGGTTGGATGCTGGAATGGCATCAGAAAAATGTGAAAAAACAAAAGAAAGATATAAAAACATGTAAAATAGATTGTGCTCTGTGGTTGTGTGTTTATGAGAAGATGTGTGTATATATTAATTAATATATGTACATCAAAATGAAATTTTGTGCATAATTTTAAGAATTTTATCAAAGTTTCAAGGGTAAAAATTGACAATTAGGAAATTACAGGACTAAGGGAGTACCTGCAAAGCTAGTTTAGCCTCTGGTATGTATGCATCACAGTACATCTCTTCGCTCCATGATCACTCCTTTTTATTTACAGAGAACTGTGGTCTCAATCAGTTTCTCAGAATTCAGAGGATGTACCTAATGAACAACTCTTTAATATTTGACTTTCTTCTTATTGCTCAGTGTGTGCTCTCAGTTCTTATTTACTGCATTACATTCAAACCCTGCCCTGAATACACAACTGTTCATTTCCTTGCAGACTTTTCTATGGTGGTGATGACTAATATCTAAGTGCTTTGCAAACATTAATGAATTTATCTTCTCCAGCCCAGGTGAGGTGGAGGCTGTCATTATCCTCTTATTGTAGACCTAAAACTGAGACACAGGAGAGTTCAAGTCAAACACAGCCACTAACACCAAGCACACTTTCTGAGATATGTAGCACCTCAGTTTTCAGAGTATTTAACGGTCTATCTGATTTTGTATGCTGAGAGCACATCCCTGATTGACTGCAGCTATAGTTGTGAGGATTTTACACTCCTGCCAATCAGGAAAAAGAGTCTCATGCAGGGCACCCTGGGAAAAACGAACAAACTGTTAATGACCCCATCTGAAAACCCCACTTGGATTTGAGGACACTTGCTAAGAAACACATCAGAATTCATCAGAAAAGATAAGACCTAATTCTTGAGTTCAGCATTTGTCTGCTTTAACTGTGAGACTTCATAGTCTTGAAATTCCTGCCTCATAAAACAAGCAACCTCTAAAAATGTACAACAAAAGAAGGAAAATCCCATGCAAGTTACTGGCACTACGCAATATGGATTTCCCATACTTTATTCTTCAAAAATGGTCCATGTGTTTTATTTTAAGTCATAGTTTAAATGGCAGGCATCTGGAAGTCCATTTAAGACAGGCCTAGTCAAGTCTTTTGACCTGATGTAGTCTAATTAAAAAATCATTGTTGTGGAGGGAAAGACAGGTGTATCACGTGGACAATAGGAGCTGACCGGAGTCACTTATCTCATGAACAGTTACGGATATGTTTGGTTTTCTGTCCCTTTTGCATCTGTGACCTCAGAAACACATCCTTTCTCATGCAATAGATGGAAATGTGCAAAGAGTCTCTGCCATGTAGCATCACCACTTTTATAATAGAATCAAAAAGTAAGTGAGGTTAGAAGGGTTCTCAACCTTTGCCATTTTAAGAATGTCCTTAACTAGTAACAATTTAGAACCTTGCTATTATTAATTTCTGATTCCATTCATGACACATTCTCTGGCCTGCTCATTACCAAATGAATGAGCAATATTATCTGTCCATTATCCATCTAAATACCTTAAGTGTCTAGATTACACATTTAAAGACAGGCCCACATGAAGAATCTGCACCTACAGCTTTATTCCTCAACACAGGCAACCGGTAAACCTCCAGAGTCAGTGCAAAGTATCAGTAAATAGCATGCTAATGTTAAGTATGGTTAAATATAAAATATGACATAAAACTAGAACAAGTCTTAGTACAGCTTCCAGATTATAAAATGGGGTTTCAGTCCTACTAATACGAGTCTAATCAAGAACAGTCAACTGAACAAAGCA